CAGGTTTTTTCTTTCATTAAAACTTAAAGATAATTTATATCATTTATGTTTAAAGAATGTGGTTTTCCTGAAAGTGATGGAAGTTTTTCAATACAACCATATCTTTGTAAATATACAAGAGCACGACTTATAGAAGACCTGCTAACACCTAAGTGTTTTGCAATTTATCAAGTTGAAAGACCTTCTAAATTTTTTTCAATAATTTGCCAGCGAAAGTGGTTTGAAAATATCATTTTTTAAATTCAACAAGAGATAATTTTAAATTACATATATATTACAGTATTATATCAATTTTTATTGAATTTATTATACCGAAAAAATTACCGGCTGAAAATTTTTTTCAGCTAATTTTTTATAAATGTCCCAGGAATAATAAAAATAGCTATAATCGATTATCCAAATTAAAATTAGAAAGTTAGTGAACTAAAACAAAAAGATAATGAAATTAAAGCCTTAAAAAGAAATCTAGGGGACAGCCAAAAGAACTTTTTAGGAAAGAAATTAAAATCTAAAAAGGAAAGATTAGAGTTGCTAGCAGCTGAACTAGGGGTAGAATTACAGAAAATCTAAAATTTACGCAAAAGATATTGAGAATTAATATCTGCCCAAGAGGAAAATAAAATCAGTAACATTAATATTGCCAAAGAAAATATTGCTGCTACCCAGGATGGCTTAATAGAAAGAGGAATAAGTATTAGCAAAGCCCAAAAATTTTGTAGGAAGTATAAAAAGGTCGCTCAATTAGAGTTATGAATAGATAAATTTAACGAGCAGTTTGAAGCCTGACAAGAAGTTCTTTTGTATAATAATCAAAAATAGTATTTTTTTTGATTAAAGATAACAATTTAGAAGCAAAGATCCAAAATCTTAAAACTCTTATTTAGCAAAAAGACTTGTTGCCGGAAAATAAACAGCTCTTATTAAAAGAAATTGCAAGATTGAAGCAAGCATTAGCAGAATATCATAATAACAAATTACAAAGTAATAATAAAATTTTTCGCTTAAATTACTTACTAAACTTTCGCTCAAATTACTTACTGAACCTTCGCTCAATTATTTATTAAAATTATTTTTTTATATAATTTACTGAACCTTTGCTCAAATTATTTACTGAACTTTTGCTCAAATTATTTATTGAACCTTCGCTCAAATTACTTACTGAACCTTCATTTGAGGTATTTTTTATATAGCTTACCAAACCTTTGCTCAAATTACTTTACTCAAATTATTTACTGAATCTTTACTTAAGGTATTTTTTTATATAACTTACTAAACTCCTCACTCAAATTATTTTTTTATATTATTTACTGAACTTTTGCTTAAAGTATTTTTTTTATAACTTATCAAACTTTCGGCTATATATTTTTTTATATAGCTTACTTGAAAAAAATCGGTAGATAAAATTGTTATTTCATATATAGTAAGATATCGATCCAGTTCTATGGCTTGTATTAATTCGAATAGTTTGTTAATTTCCTTATTCAAAACTTTAGTAATAGCCTTATTCGTGCTAGTTGAGTATTCTTTCATAAGTGTTTTTAAAAGATTATTTATTTGTTTAATTTGATGTTGTCGATGCAAAAAAAATGGTATTAGAAGCAAGTATTGATTAATATAAATAATCAAAATAAGATTTACGAAGTTTAATTCTGAAACCTCTTATTAGAAATAATACTGGCTAATAGAATGAATAAAAACTATTATATAAAAAAAAAGGTTTCTATTAGTGAATAGATAAAATCAATAGGCAATAAGCTGGGTAAAAAAATGATAAAATTGTCTTAATTTTGCCAGGAACATCAATTATAAGTTTCCGGGGTCTTGGTTAGCCCTGACCCGAGTGCATGGATAAAGCCGTGGCGCAGATTACTGAAGTCTAGGTAGTCATATGATTGGGACATGTGTAATTTAGAAATGTGCTACCGATGGCGTGGCATTTGTACCGGATAGTGGATGTCATGATATAACGAAAACTTGAAAGGAGCCAAAAAAAGTCGGTGTATACCTAACTCTTGGGCAGTTACTACTACTGAAAAATAGCTAGGGAACTGTAACACCGCAGGGGGAGGAATCTGAGACTTCACATACTTACCAAAATAGTTGATGTATAGTGGAGTACTTAGTTATAAATAGATAGATAAACCAGCCGGGTGAGCATATTGTGACATAAGTTCAAAGCAGTAGGTATAAGTTAAAAAAAAAAAATATATATATATATATATATATATATAAACCCATGCAATATCGAAAAAGATTTAATATAAAATAAAATAAAAATTTAAATCTAAAACAAATTAATTTAAATAATTTTATTTCTAATATAG